TTTTTTTTTTTAATATAAAAGATATAAATTATGTTTAGCCTGGTATTCCTTATCGTTTTTCGAATGTTATAAAATTCAGTAACGTCTTCGCAATTTGTTTTTACAGCAGGAAAATTTTAGCAATTCGACTTCATACTATTTGCTTCTTTTCCGGTGCTCTTTTACGTTCATTCTTTACTCACATATATTCTTTACTCATGTCGGTTTTGTAGAATGCTTTTCTTCAACGCACCTTCTTTTCTTGCCCATTTGTTCGGTATAACTGGGTTTTACGACATGCCAGTAATTCTGGGGTTCTCCATCCTTTCGGCTTGCGGATCTTATGTAATACCATTTCAGCGTTCTTCTTTCTCATTCCCTTTCGTTACTGTTATTTTTGTCCGTAGTTTCATTCGTCTCTGATTGAAGATGGGTGCCGAAGATGTATCAAGCAGTGCATTCACAGCTTCTGCTCACTTGTTGTTGGTTTTGGCGTCTGCAGTGTCAATTATTTTCACCATTTTTGCCATTGCTCTGGCTCGCCGGCGGTCGCGACATCGTGGCTTCATTGAGGTTCACTTGTTTTCATAAAAATATTTGCACTTTAATCTTTAAAGTGCTTCAGAAATTTATACGTTTTTGAATCATTTGTTTTTGCTGTTTTGGCGCAAAACTATCCGCAAAAATGACAAAGCTGTTTTTCCCCTTTTTACCATACTTCTGTTTGAGGAAATTATTCGTCAGATCTGCAAATTTCAGGTTGACATATGTACTCCTGAAGAGCGACATGTGAATGGAATGCAAGTGAATGGTTATGAGAATCCAACGTATTCATTTTTTGATAATAAACCATGAAGATACTGATTTTTTATGTTGCAACCGATTTGAAGAGTGCTGAAAAATTTTCTGCATTTTTAGAAAAGCCAAATCAGGCTGTGTGTGGTTGTGAGTGTGCTCGCCTAGGATTTGCTCACCATGCAACACTGCTGAGCTTAAATCCGCTGTATTCAGAATCATTGATTATCCCCGGTTCTTCAGCTGCGCCATTCATGTAAGCAGTCTCTCGTATACTTAAGTAATTATTGGGAGTGCTAAACCATTCTGCCATGGCATAATATGGCGTTGCTTAAATTTGTGCGCTGAGGTGTTTCTTGTTTTGTGCAGCATTTGCGTGCATCGCATTTGCAACTTCCTTTTCGTTAGAAGAGTTAAAATTTGTAGGGATTGTTTCAATTTATTAATTGAATTTTTTGTTGCTGTTTTGCGCAGTTTTGAAACTTTTTTCAAGATTATCATAATTAAAGCATAATCCCGTTTTCCAACTAAGTGTGTTCATTGTGTGCATGTAAAATGCATGCTTTTATGTGGCCATTTCACACCGATGCTGACGACTGATACGACTACATTTACACTGTGTAAGTTTTGGAATAGCCGCCTGGTTCTTGCGCTGTTCCGTTCCTGAAAATCATATTCCTCGATCCACTTCGTGCATCACGTGTATTCGTTAATATTATTACTACGAAATTGCTGTATTCTGTGGTAAGACTCGCTTCAGAGGCTCTATGAGCAATAATCACTATTCATGCGCCTCTGTAACTTTGAGCTGTGTCCTTCGAAATTAGCACTTGTTATCCGTCATGCTCTGAAAGCAGTGCAGCAGCTGCAGATGGATGCTTTTGAGCCTTTGCAGCGCTAAACATGGCGCAAGGTATCCCTCCCCCCTCCTCTCCGCCTCGCCAAAGCAGCGCATTTTATTATTTTTTTATTTCCGAGTTTATGTAAGCACAAATCATATAAAAAATTTTCTGGCGAGTTTTCACTTTTTTTTACGAAACTTTATGCCTAAACACATTCTAATTTTGCTTGCACTTTCTTTCATGGAAAAAGTTTTTGTGCGCTTCCATTTTTGCGTTTCCATTCTTTTTTATTCATTTTCTTTCCAGTTACAGAAAGGTCTTTTTGGCTAATGAAGTAGAACTGTTGATATTTTTGAGGTACCAGTCGGAAATAAAAAAATTCTATGCAAAAAAGAACATGGGGGCACATTCAGAGCTGCAGAATTTTTGCTGTTTATTATGTTATATTTTCCCTTGAACTTATCACATTTGTAGGAGTTCATGTGAAAGCTGCACACTGGTTGCATTCTTCGAATTTCTCATAGTTTCTTTTTTCGTGACTGTTGTATTTTGTAGCATTTTTTTAATTTCAGCAGCATTATGGATAAAAAAAAAA